TTAAATATGCTTTAAAGTTATTAAAGCATATTTAATCACTTTGTTTAACTGAAACAACTCATTACTCTACATTTTGATCAGACCAGTTCAGTTCAATAACTGGAAGTTGCTTTAACCTGACGCTAGATGGCGCCACACATTAATCTGTGTTGTTTTCTGTGTGAAACAACACATGAACCACTGTGACAGTTCAATGACCAATACACACATTTCATAACACAACCATCACAGCGTATGTGACGTTTGACTACAAGACACACAAACAAGCCTTTCATGGGCAGACAAGGAGGAGAACAAAGTGTTTTCTCTTCAACTGGTGTTTATGAAGATAAAAAACAGATTCAGGTAAGAATATTAAATATTATAAAATAAAAAACTAAGTAAAGTTACCATGAAACGTGCATCGGTTTAGTGCACATATCTTATGCAAGAGTTAAAGTCCAATGCATCATAAAACACGATCATACAAACAATTGTTTGTGTGCCTTCAAATAGGATTATTTTAACTATATTATATTTGTAATTTGTTCTTGTTCTTGCAATTATTGTTCTCACTTTACAATATTTTAATATGAGTTAAGTTACAGGAGGGCTGGATAACAAACATGTCAGTAAAACTTAAACATCCAAAACCTTATTTATATCCATTACAAACACAAACTTTTACTTTTATTTGCTTAGGACAAAATAAAGTATGTGTACTCAATATATTTGTTAATTAGAAAAACATTTCACTTTTCTTCTTTACCATTATTCTCTACTTTCTTGTGTTCTATCACGACACATGATAAAAAACACAATTGTGTTGTTATAATGTCAAAATATGGAAAGTTTCAAGCAGAAGTGGGGAGAAAATTATACACAAGTAAGAATCGCATGACTTCAACATATTTTTACTCAAGTAAAAATAAAAAGAAGCTGTTCAAGACATTACAGAAGTATATTAAAAAATATATTGGTAAATTGGCTATTCAAATAAAGAGTAAAACATCAATCATTTAATATTTAAAAATGACATAAGCAGACAGACCAAAATATTAAGTTATGTGGATATTTTTGGTATTTTAAGGACCAAAATGAAAATAATTCATATAAATAATATACAAATCAGTTTTTATGTGAAACTTATGAAATGTTTAACAAAAACTGTAGGTGTGTGTGCCTGGTGAATTTTCGGAGAGGAAAGGCTTTAGCAGCTTAAACTCTCGCTATAAGCAACATGAGAGGCACCAACTAACTTTCTCGCTCTTTGGTTAGCTAGCAACTCGCTCACTTTTACCTAGTGAGTGTGTGACTTGTGGAGAAGTTGTAAGGTTTCACCAGTGTACCTTATAGCTGATCAAAACTAATTGTGGATAAAGGAAGAAAAATCACTCCACCAGTTTTGCAGAATTTCAGATATTCAAAACAAAAAATAAATCAATATATCAATATCGTTTTATATGAAATACTTATATTGTGATACATTATTCAGCCATATTATCCAGCTCTACAAGTGGTACAAGGTCGCAGTCACTGCTATTTTTTAAAGGCTAATTTCTTCCAAGGTATAGGGAGCAGAAGAGAGAAAATGTCCCAAATCTGACTTGATTTTCTCTATTTTTAAAGGTATTCTGCGATCAGCATGAATACGCCTCATTCCTCTTTTCTCACTTTTATGTTGCTCTTAGTGCAACTATCAGTTGCATCAGGAGGAAAAATTCTGGTGTTCCCATTGGACGGAAGCCACTGGGTAAACATGAAAGTGATCATAGAGGAACTGCATGGCCGGGACCACGAGATCACAGTGCTTCGGCCCTCTGATAGCTGGTACATCAAGGAAGAGTCTCCCCTCTACACCTCTGTCACTCTTCCCTGCCGAGGAGGATTTGAGGAAAACTTCGGCGTGTACTTATCTCGACAGCTGGAGATTCGGCTTCAGATAAAACCCGGGTCGTTTTGGTCCAACATCTGGACTCACATGCAATTGAGGTCGGTGTTACTAGACCAGTTCTCCCAGTTACATAAGAAAATGGGGGATCTAATTACACACATGTTTGAGAATGAGTATCTGATGCAGTCATTGGAAGCTGCCAAATATGATTTGGTCCTGACAGACCCTGGCATCGGTGGAGGTGCAATGTTGGCGCGCAAACTCCAACTTCCTCTGGTGTATAATGTCCGTTGGACCATCCAGGGTGAAGCCCACTTCCTGGTTGCTCCTTCACCTCTCTCATACATTCCCTTTACTGCAACCGAGCTCACAGATAAAATGACTTTCCCTCAAAGATTAAAGAACTTCTTGAGTTACTTTGTAGGGACGCTCACTTTATCATACATCACAGAACCTGCCTACAAACCAATCGTCAAACGCTTCTTTGGCCCTGATGTGGATTACTCAACCTTTTTTCTCGATGCTGATATCTGGCTCATGAGAAATGACTTTGTGTTTGAATTCCCGCGTCCAACAGTCCCCAATCTCGTCTACATGGGAGGGTTTCAGTGTAAGCCTTCTAAGTCCCTCCCTGCTGATCTGGAGGAGTTTGTCCAAAGCTCTGGAGATCACGGGATTGTTGTAATGACTCTAGGAACTCTGGTGAGCAACCTGCCGCAGGATGTTTCTGAAGAGATTGCTGCAGCATTTGCCCAGTTGCCTCAGAAGGTTATTTGGAGGTATGTAGGACAAAAACCAAACAACCTGGGCAACAACACATTGCTAGTGAAGTGGCTTCCTCAAAACGACCTCTTAGGTCATCCTAAAACTCGAGTGTTCATCACCCATGGAGGCACCAACGGCGTCCAGGAGGCAATTTACCACGGTGTTCCGGTTATTGGACTTCCTTTTTTCTTCGATCAGCCTGATAATCTATCCAGAGTCAAGGTGAAGGGAGCAGCTGTCATCGTAGACATCGCCATGCTTGACAGGCATATCTTCAAAGACGCTCTGATGACAGTAATTTACAACTCCACCTATGGAGAGAACATGCGGACTCTTTCAAAGCTGCACGGAGATCAGCCGGTGAAAGCTCTGGATCAGGCTGTGTTTTGGATCGAGTATGTCATGAGACACAAAGGAGCCCGTCATCTGCAGACACACGGCCATAAACTGTCCTGGTTTGTTAACAACTCTGTGGATGTCTTTGCTGCCTTGTTGGCAGCTGTTCTGATTGTAACAATCTTTATTGCAGTTGTTAGGCTTTTGTGGAGGAAGATTAGGAGAAAAATTAAACAACAGTAATGTAAAAATAAAAACAATTCTCAAGTGACATTTTTATTCATTTGTGATTTTTTTTTTTTTTTGCATTAAAACCCTGTTACAGTATATTCACCCCCATACCTACTAGGGCATAGTATTCCAGCTTTACCAAACCCCCTTCATAAACAGGTTAATTGAATTTTAAATATATATACTATTTGTATCTTGCTTAAATTAACTGAATGACAGAATTTTCCATCTTCACATGGCATAAAGACTGCATTTACTCAGGAGATACAACTAGTTTAATTGACCCTGATTATTGTATTCTTTTTTTGAGGCGGGAATTTTTCCCACCCACTGTTTTTGCCTTCTAGCACACATACTGATGAAAAAGACACCATGTTGAAGGATGACAGTGCAACATGTTTTCTAATGGCTTTTCATGGGAACAAAATTATTCACATGATTTTAATTGCTTTTCTTATTTAATGGAAACTGTGAAATTGTGATTTCTTCAACATAAGCAGATTATCTACAATGTTTTGTGCACATTTTAATAGAAACGCAGCTATAAACACTTTACTCACAAAAACTTGTACTTTCTCGTTCTCTTTTCTCGCTCTTTTGTCCATAATAACCAGGCAATAACATTGTTATATTTTAAGAATTTTAATATGTGGTGTTACATTTCTAGACACCATTATCCACAATGCTACTCCCTTCGATCATGTTTTTGGCTGCTACTGAGGAATTTTATGTAGCACTCATGATTATTTAGCCATTCAAGGTCACGCCATAAACTTTTTCTTTTTTTAAGTGTCTGTGTTTTATTTATTTATTCACGCTGTGTGTCACAGACTCATTTTAAATTCTGGTGTAATACCAATTAACGCCTTTAGATGGCAGTAGTGGCTAGTGAAGGAGAGACTGGATTCCAACCTTATGCTCAAGAAGACAAGGAGCGGATCCTCTCTTATCATCTGTACAGACATAAACTGTGCAAATGTAAATATCGGAGCATCACAACATCGCTGCGAAATCACTATTAACATTTAAATTTCTATTTTGACAGGTGAGTCTCGGATATTGATCCCGTTTTTAGAAGTTACTATCTCGGCTGGAAGTTACTGCTAACTTCCGCTAACATATTTGTTAGCAACTGGATGGGTAACCATGTTCCAATAACTGTTTTAAAAGCAGTTTGATTCTACTGAGGTGATTTTCCTTTCAGAGTTTTTATCTTCCGACTTTAATGCAATATTTTCAAACTCAACTTATTAATATGAAATATTTTTTAACTAAAAGTCCAAGAAACAAATGAAAGCTGAACACAAAAGACAGACTGAAATGTAAAAGACCTGTTTAGTGGAATTGATTTGTTTTTGTTGAGTGAAATTTGTTTAGCTATAAACCCTCAAAGTTGTTCAAGTTTTGTAAGGCTACCTGATGTCTAATGTTCTCTAAATCAATCTTTCACAAAACAATGGAGAATTTGAATAACTATATTTATTTATCTGTATGCTCAGGTTCAACATAAAGCCACACCGAAAGCATCAAGCTAGGCAAAAAGTCTCTAGAACAAGGCAACAACACCTTTGACTTCAATATGATGATTTCAAAATTATACAGAATGTAACGTAAATATGTCTAAGAAACAAAAAGTGACACTTAGTATGTATAATACAATAAATGATCTAAACAGGAAATATGCATTAATATTCTAAAAAAACAAACCATTTAACATAACATTTTGAAAGTAGAGACATTGTTTTGTTATAACTAGAAATAACAAAATAGCATATCTTACAAATGTTTCATTAAATAAATAATTGTTTGCCTCCAACTGAAAGATATTTTAACATTACTCTAGATTTTCTGCATTATGTCTGACTGTTCAAATTGGTAGCTCCCACCCCCAACTGTGATTGTTTTCTTTTCTGAATTTCTGTCATCTGCTGTTCTGCGCTTCTAGATCGATGTCTTGAGTGGCATTTACATCGTCTGTTTCTTCTTGATGTTTGCTGCTGCAGGACACGCAGAACAAATAGCCCTTGAAAACTACAGTGAGACCAAATGCAACCCAGAGTCCAATGATCTTTAAAAAAAAAACACATCAAGAAAATGCATGTGAAAATAATGTCAATGTTTAGCAGCTGTGTTTATGCTTAGGAATGTAAAATAAGCAGCTCTTACCTGAGACTTGGTGTACCACTTCAGAGTCTGGATCTCCTCTCCATGAGATACATTAACTGGTTTACACCATTTCAGAGAGGAACCAGCCTCACTAACTTCATAGTTTCCTGACCAGTTGGTCCAAAAACAGGCATAATAACGACCATCTATTAACAGTATTATACACCATGTTACAGCAGGAACTAGACCACGAAAGAAACTTCTCATACATAATAGTATTGAAAGTTTACATGGACTTTCAGTACTAAGCATGAGCAAAAAGACGATAAATGCTGGCGCTAAGAAAAATGATAACGCAGTGGCAGCATTCAGATTCGACTGACAGGGACAAACAAACTCCAACTCTACAATTTTCTCAAAGCAAAGAAGGATCAGTGCCAAGCCAACGTTTGATGCCAGAGGATTATTCTCAAGCCCAACCTTCACTGCTGAGAACCATTGTTTTGCTGTTGGTAAATCCATCTCTGCAGAGACAAAAAACAAAACAAAAGCAGTCATTGACTTTTAGTTTTAGAAACTTTTAGATTATTTTATTTCTCAAAATATAAACACCACCTGTTTAATCATCTGACATCACTATGAGATAATTTGTTTTAAATTAAGCAAAACATAACCAGCAAGAGAAAAAATATATGACAAACAGATGTTTGAGATTATATCTGCTCTTAACAACAACACAGTTAATGACAGAGTTAAAAACATCAACTATGCCTCCACTAACAATCGTATCTTTTAATTAAACAAAATAAAACACTTAACTTCATACTCTTCCCTGGTTATCAAAGTTAAAAATTGACCAATTAGTTTTCCATCAAATTAATTTTGCTTTGTAGAAATAAATAGTTTTTACCCTCTGCAAAATCTGAAGATAAAAAGCTCCTTTGTGGAGTGTGTAACACTTATGAGCGAGGCAGCTCACCCCAGCGACAAAAGCATCATCAGAAGAGTGTCTTTGTCAGGAGCCTGAGGTGTGAAAAACAGGAAGCAATGTTTTGGTTTTGATGTATACAAACAATATTCTCCTCATCACCATCCCCTTCATTATTCTGATCAGGCTCACCTCTGGTAGCCGTTATTCCTGAATGATCACTTTAAAACTCCTCTCAAAACATCATCAGATGATTGTCCGCTCTGCTGGGAAATATGTTTCAATTCATGAAGGTAATCAGGAGGTAGGGTTGAGTCCGCTGTGGCAGGGCACTATCTTGAAAGTAATTTAACAACACATATGACATCTTCTGCAGCCTGAGATGGATAACATATGGTAAAAGCGATTTTAGCTTTTCCAAATCTGCAGAATTAGTAAATTCGACAGCCAGGTTTTTATAAAATGGACACTCACGTTCAGTAACAGTGAAAATTCCACCATAACTATGTAAATGATTGGCAATCTCATCATCTGCTTGAGTGTTTGATGACAGAATTAGCAACATTTATACAAATTTCGTCAAAGAAATCCGTATTTCAATACAAACCACAAAACACATTCACCAAAACATTGACAGTGCAACACTTATGAGTGAGGCAGCTAGCTGCAGCTGCAGAGGCAGGTAACTGCAGCTGCAAAAACAGCATCAGAAGAGTGTCTTTTGAAAGAGCTGGAGGTGTGAGAAACAGGAAGCAGTGCTTTGGTTTTGGTGCATACATATCAAGCGATTTCAAAAAACAGACAATTACAGCTGCACAATGAGAGACAAGACGATTGACTCAGAATAAATTAATTCCAAAACCATAAAGTCCATAGTCCTTTTTCTCGCTCGCCATCTTCAGAGCCAGATGAGTGTTTTATCAAAAAACAACAATTATATACAAATATAATACAAAGGAAGTAGTTATTAAATTTAGGCATTTAGTTTATGCATATTAAATGCAAATGAAATAATTATTTTCTTAATAACAGACATTTCAATAATCAGGTTAAATTAACCATAATTTTAATTAAGTAAAACAAAAAGAGTATCGATCACATTTCACATTTTACCTTTAATTAAAGTGCACTTTAATTTAAAGTTAAAATGCACTTCCAAAATATCAATCAAGAAAAATAAAATAAATTGTCAAATACTCAAGCAGAGTGAGAGAAAAAAAAGTAATTAAATTAAATACCCCAACATAATATGTAATGAAATTTAACACAAAACAGAAAGTCACATTTTGGAAAACTGTGTATCATACGTTCACCTAAGCCTAATGGAAAACTTTAAAACATGCTCCTCACTCCTCTTCTGTTTTAAGTTATCTGCATAGTCTTATCATCAGACTATGCATTAGCTGCTCTCACATAGTCCTCTGCAGTGTCATATAATAGCAGGGGAGAGCTTCATGATCCTGGAGACAATAAGTGCTACTTCCCCAACCCAGAACATATCTTCCCCCTTCAGCGTCAAAGGACAACCTCATTTACTTAACAAGACCGTCTGTGTTGGGCTCCACAGAATCCTTGGTTCTGTTGAGACTATTACAACCATCTCTTCAAAAACACGTCTCTCTACCCGGGTCTTAAATATTTCAGGCAAGACACAAAAATAAGCCACAAACCAGAATGTGAAATCACTCACAAGACATTTATTAAATCAATACATTTGGCCAAATGGAGACACAACACACCCACAAACACAAACAGCAGTAAGTCCCTGCAGAATGAGGTTGAGTCTCAGTGCAAGAGGTTGGACTTCATATTTTGTCTCTTATCCTCATACCTGAGACATCGCAAACTTCTCCAACTACTCCCATACACACAAACCATACCTGTCAAATCCTTTCCTGCATAAAACACTCAACTCTAACCATTTAAGGAGTTGTAGTTTCTTAGATGTTTCACCTTTTACTTTCACTAGTAAAACATTCTGACTTGCTGCATCCTGTTCTTATCTAACTGTGATATGCAAACAAAGTTATTCATCTTATCCTTAGCTGGAACATTTCAAACTATAATGAAAATACAAGTTTGTAAAGCTTTTTACACAGTGTAGCAATATAAAGCATTATATTTGATATTCAAAATATGCAAAACACACTCAAAGCATGAATATACTTGATTACATTTTTTATTTTTCCCCTTTTGACCTTTGTTAAAAGAGGTCACCTTCCTACGGGAAAATCATGACAAAAGCAGTTTCTTCAGATGGCGTCACAGTCGCTGCACACATCTGATAAGGTGGTTCAGGAACAGCGCTCTCCTTCTCAAAGGCAGCAGCAATGAGGCGAACCATCAGAAAGCGAATGCAAGGCATAAAAACTAACAAAGAAATGATAAAATTCTTTCACTTTCCAAATACTCCTGTGCAAAATATCAACAATTATTTTGCAGCTGAGTGCTAATGATGCTGCTGTAACATAAAGCTTGTAGCTAACACACCATTGCCTGTAGGGCCTTTGTGATGTTTAGCAGCTTTAAACCTTCTGTCTTAACCATAGCAAACGAATAAAAATAAATATAAAAAATAAATATATATTCATATATACAGTGTGAATTTTATTTCTTATCTGCAGATTCTCTTCTGCTGGGTCTTCTTTATCTACATTGTTGTGTTTTTATCCTTTTTAACGTGGTCACCCGGACTACAGTATCTCCTGTTAGTTATTAAACTCTTCACTCCTCTGTGAGTTTACCTGCAAGCATGAGGACCAGACAAACCAAACCACATGAACAGGCAGCCAAAACAGAGTCAAAAATCCATAGAACTAAACAATAATTAGTCAAAGGAACAATAACAATGGAAAGAAGGAATAGGCTCCTTCTGTCCATATTTGCATAGCAGTATGAGAACAAGGAAGGGATGATCAAACATAAAATATAAAAAAATGACAACAACAACGCTGCCAGGAATCCAAAGAACTAAAAAAAAAAAAAAAAAACGGGGAAAAAGAGAACAAATTTTTTAAAATTAGATTTAATTCGCAGTAAAAACTACTCATCATCTGTGCAAATCTCAGGAAAACGTCATTATATCTTACCTGCGATTCAGAATACAGGAGCTGGGTTTTGGCCAGTAGCTCCTGAGAAGAGTTTTGGTTTAATGGTTGACACCATTTCTGAGGTTCAGCGTTCACAATCATCTCATACTTCCCTGACCAATCCGTCATTGCACAGGCGTAATAGCGACCATCAAGGAACACGATCACCAACCATACTCCAGCTGGAATAATGCCGAGTTTCAAGGCGTCATAGAGTTTACAGTGACATGCAGTGACATACATTAGTGAAAAGACTATAATTGGTGGAACAATGAAACATACCGAAGTATGTAAATAGTTGTATTCAGAGTCACAAGGGCATGAAAACTCTGCTTCCACCAGTTTCTCCAACACCAACTGGATCAATACAAAGCCTAAAGTAGATCCCACTGGGCTTCTGGAAAATTCTTCTTTCAGTTTAGACATCCAGTTGTTTCTCACATCCATAGTTGGATCCATAGTCTATAAGGGGAAAAACACAGAAAAAAAATTAAATTAGGAGAAGCAATAACTGTGTCTGTCACAATAACAAATTATGCTGAACGATAATTTGTCCCAGGAGTTATTGCAATAAACGACAACGCGTTGAGATTATTTTAAAGCAATATAATGGTGATGGCATAATAATAATAATAATAATGCAAGAACACATTCTTAAAGATCAATAAACTTTAAATTCTAAAAAACATTGAACACTAAAACTGGAAGACATTTTAAACATCTAAAATAAATAAAACATGTAACTAAAAACAACAAATAAAATCAACTAGTCTCTTTAAGCAAAATTGTCCTTCAAAAAAGGCCGAGTTGAGCCCAAGGCGCCAGACTGCAGACTTCTGTCATCCAGTTTTTGGCAGAAAAAGAGAAACAATAAATCACTCAAATGGAAATTGAATTTGTTGTAATTTATCATGCAATTAATTGACTTATTGTTTATTGTGACAAGCCTAGCAAAAGCAATACTGGCCACCGGTATATATAATTTACACTGTGGACAATTAATTTTCTTTTCATCCATGTGTTAAATCAAGGAGTCAAGCTTGACAAAAGGAAAGGAAAATTAACTGCAGTTAAGAAAATAGATGCACTGTTAGCAGGAAGAGTCTGACTCTGGGTTATGGACTTTCACTGATCTCCACAGCTTTTCCAGATGTTGACTACAGTCCATCCAGTAGCTCATTTCAGGTTTAGTGTAAAAAGATCTGCTCCTATGCAAAGGAATAATTTGTACAGTTATTGGAAAACAGAAAAATTTTCCATTGCAAACAAGGAACTGGTTCATGCAAATATATTCAGCTAGTTCCTGCTGTTTTGGTCACCTGCACCGTTTATATGTTTCTCTTACATAAAAATATAACAAAAAAAATAAAGAAATTAAAAAAATAAAATAAAATTTAATCCACAAAGGCAATCAAGCAAATATATTTACCTGATGGTGTGACTCAAGATAAAGATGAAGAACAGCAACAAAAATACAAAATTAAAAATGTTAATGTCTTCAGATGTACAAACCAATTTGAGGTTGATCCAGTAAGTAAAAAATTAAAACAGAAGTTAAAAACAAATAAAGTCAACTGTGGAAGCAAAATCACAAAACGATTCATTGGATTTCTCCTGAATGTGGGCGCACCTGTCCTTTTATAAGTAGGACAGTGAAGGAGGAGTTACATCACCAACAAATCCACCGTTAAACAAGATAGAAAAAACTTAATCAATATATCGGCCCAACATAATCAATAGAATTTAACGCAAAACACAAATGATCATTTTGGAAAACGTTGTAGATGCAACTATGTAAAGGTTCAAAGAGTTTTAACAAAAAAAGAGAAAGAAATTTGAAAAGTTTCCAAAACAGACAAAATGCATTTTGAAAGAGTCAAAAGTCAAAAATAGGCAGTTTGATTTTTGTCAAATCAAGTTTGCATTGTAAAATTATTTACCGTAAGCAGAAAATAAACCAGTATCAAAATCTGAAGTGCTTGAAAATGTCCATTTGGTATCATTTAAATTTTTTTGCGACAGAACATATTTGCATTTGAGATTTTGTTTGAAGGAAATATTCGTGTGAAAAGGAAAACATGCAAAGAGCTTTGATAGGAATATTCTGAACCACACATGACTTGTCCTATGTAATCATACATTCACATGTGATTTCTTTTAAGGTTTTTGCTTCAGACAGGTGCAGAAGACTCGTTGTTTCTTTCATTTCTTGAAGTTCCATAATTTTCATCAGAACTGCAGCAGAACCGGGAGCCAAGCAAACAGAACACATAAAGACCCGTCAACCCTAGTATCATCCAGAATCCAATGAACTGAAAACAGACAAAATAGAGAAAGAGATGCAAAAATCATATTTCAAAGCACAAGAAACTACTCATCGTCTAAATGAGGATCGTCCAAGTCCAGTCCTCAAAAGCTGCCAACCTGCATCCTGCATCCCAACACTTCTGATTTAGAAGATGAGTTACAGCTGATTTCTGTCACAGCTCTGAAAATGCTGCTAATGAGCCACTCATATCATCCAGGTGTGTTAGAGGAGGAATATAAAAATTACAGGGTGATAGTTATTGAAGACTGGACTTTGGCTCCAGTGATTCAGGCTGATTGGATTGTGCAGATCTAATTTGTTTCTTACCTGCGACTCAGAATACCAGAACTCGGTTTTGTCCAGTAGCTCCTTTGATGAGTTCAAGTTGTCTGTGTCTGGTTTACACCATTTCAGTGGTCCATCCTTTTCAATCGTTTCATAGGTTCCCGTCCAACTGGTCTTTGCACAGGTGTAGTAACGACCATCAAAAAACACAATTATCAACCATATTGTGGCTGAAATAAAGGTGATGCTAACGGCCTGACAGAATGATTTACTACATGATTTACAGTCAAATGTTCCAAGTGATTTACAGTGACATTTAATGGCAAACATTAGTAAACAGACAATGATTGGTGGAACAATGAAACTTGGCAAAGTATGTAATTGATTGTATCTAGAGTCGCAGGGACATGTGAAATCTACTTCCACCAGTTTTTCAAACACCATTTGGATCAATCCAAAGCTTAGCGTAGTTGCTACTGGGCTTTTGGAAAATTCTCCTTTCAGTTTAGAAATCCAGTTGTTCTTGAGATCCATAGTTAGCTCTATAATTGGGAAACACAGAGAGAGAAGTGAAATTATTGAAGCTATAGATATAATTTTATCAATGTATACCCAAATGTAATTTACAATGTTTTAATACTTGTTTCTATTCATGGTAAATGCACTACATGCATCTTTATTCATGAGTTAAAATGTGCTCAGTTTGACAAAAAGGGACAAGAAAAGATATTGTTTGTGAGAAGAAAAAGATTCATCCATCCTTTACTTCTTGACTGAAACTGGGCTGGAAGCCACCAGTTTGAGAATCCCCATTCCTTCCTGCCTCCCAGTACAACCCCTCCAGGTTACTATGACAGTAGTGGACAAAGTACTCAGCGCTAGTACAATACACATTCACTTCCAGTATTCATGACCAAATCTTCTAATGTGAGCTTAAGATGTTGGACTGAAACTCTTTTGTCAGCCCTGCAGCATTTACAGATACAAAAATCACTCAGGATCCTAAAGATTGACTCAATAAAATTAATCAAGTATATTTACCTGATGGGTTGAGTCAAGATAAAGATCAGAAGCAACAAAAATACGAGAATAAAACTCTTCAAGAAGTTACCTAAATGCAACTTCTTTAATATATCACTGATCCACATTCAACAGGGGAATTTAACACAAAAACCAAACGAGCATTTTCTACTATAATGTGGATCTCACTTTCCTCTAAGTCCAAAATATCTCAAGATTAACAAAGAAAAAGAGGGGTGAAAAATTTCCCCAAAATACAATTTGAGAAAGATGAAACCACAAGTTACTACCATCATCATCTTATTGTGTAAAAGGGTAAAAACAGTTTTTTTTATCAAGGTCTGCCAGCAAACCATACCAACTCTTCCTCAGTCTGAGGAAGAGTTGAAGCTGCAAACGGTGAACCAACTCCATATAAACGTTTACAGAAATAATAAAAGTTTACCAAACTGTATAATAGAAATTTATGTCTAATTTTTCATGTATAATTTAGAATTTGTATAATTTATCAACTGTTGCTAGAAACATGTGAAATTAAATCTTCCCATTCATTTTGAAGGACGAACAAGACAATCTGTTCGAACCCAGGAATATTCTGTTTTCAACATGCTACCTGGTTATCAGACACATATATACACACATATAGATATTTGATCAATTATTCATATTTGCATTGTAGGAATAAATAATTTTACCGTGAGCAGAAAACAAAAGCTCCTTCTTGGTGGCGTCGCCAGGTTTTTCTGCTATAATTCTACCTTTATTCCTGTTTTGTTTCGTTTTTCAACTGCAAAACATATTTGCATTTCTAGATTACCTTCAGGTAAATGTCGGCGTTGGAAACAAAAAGATGCAAAGTGCTCTTAAAGGAGGCATGTTGTTGAGAGAATGAAAAACAAACACACAGGTGATGTGAAAGCGAATAAAAAAAGATTAGTTCTTTATAAAACTTAGTTGAGGCCAACTTTAAGTGATTTTGTTAGTTTTTCTCCTGCTTGTGTTCAACGCAGGGTGTGGGAACTCTTCACCAATTTGCACTCGAATGTTTTCACTTCCTTCTTTTGCTTTGTATCTGTAAATAATCCATTGATATCAAATTGCTAATCTTTGTGTTTTGGTTAATGCATTTTTCAACCATGGAGAGAGAGAATCAAGTCGTACTGCATATTTTCTGCACACGTTATTTTTGTGGATCTGGTATGTTTGATGTGGGCTTGGCTTGTTGGTCCTTGTTTGCATGAAAAGTTGCGTTGCGTGAGATGTAACTGATCAGCCTGCGGTTCTCATGAGCTGAAATAAAAGTCCATGTTTGTTTGATAGATTCATCTGCAATGTTGGATCTTAATAACATTATTTTTTGTTATAGGTTAGTTTTAATTTTGCTTGACAAATGCAGGTTTTATTAGTTACTATTAGATAAATATTTTTATAAGTTTTAGCTTAGTTTTTTTTTATAATAGCAGTTTTTGTTTTTTTCATGCTTTTGTTTAATTTTTAGTTGCAGGATTCCAAACATTGTCTTAGATTAAGTATAAAACCTCAACAGAAGACACCATTTAGAAAAACCAACTGACTCTAGTGTTTTATATCCAAACAAACTATGTAAGAAAGTAACTAAAACAACTAAAAGCAATTTATAATTAACTGCTGCATGTTATCCATATTCTGAAGCAGCCCCAGGCCATCATACTGCCACCATTGTGTGTTTCTGTTGCTATTACATTATTTTCTCTGAAATCCTCTGCGTTTGAGTTTTGAGTCTCATTGAGCAATAGGTGTGACCTTTTGTCAGAGAAGCTCATTTGTTATGATTTATTAGTTTAATGGGTCTGGTTGTAATGAGATCTGGGTGTGGTCAGTGAAAAGGATTGAAAAATGTGGTTAATTTTAGTTAATTTATGATTTAATAAAGGGTTAAAATGGCTTGAATTGCTGTTTTGGCTTAATAAATTTGGCATTTTGATCACTATTGTCTGAATTTATTTTATGATCTGAAATAATTGTGGTAAAAAATGAAGAACTGAAGAAAACCCAAAATAGAATCGATACTTTTCACTCTTTGTAAAAAGGTTTTAATTTCTCCATGAATAACAATGGAACAGCAGGGGACTGTGGCGCCACCTGCTGGAATAAAATAGAAATAGCTGCATTTGGTCGAGTTGTTCAGCAGATCCTGTCTCTACTTTCCTTCATTTGTTGGTTTGTTGCATATTTTCGTCAACGGAAAATTAAATGCATCTGAAATAAAACCTCAAAGTGAAGTTTTACTGAGTCCTGTGTATATAAAAAAGACAAATATCAACTATTGGCTGGAATTTGTTCATTTAAGTAAGAAATATGGCACTGAAAGCTTTTCTATAAGGTTTTAAAACAAATATAAAGCACAAAAAGAGCATTTGCACTGTAAAATATTAGTGACTTAAAAATGACTTATAATTAAATGTGTTTAATGTTCCAACACTGTTGGCTCATCTTGCTGCATTTTATTATGAAAACTGTTCATCATGTTTGATTATAGTTATGTATGTGTACATGAGTATGTGAAATAAATAGAAAAACAGAAAATATCCATTAAATACATTCAATTGCTCTAACCTTGCAAAACATTGAAAAAAATATACCAAGATAAAGAACAAAATATTACCAATTATTGATTTTCTTGTCTCAAAAGCACAAGAAAGTTTCAGAGGTAATAAGGAAGCATATTCTATTTTTTTTTAACTTATTTTATTCACCCTTCCCAAATCCTTTTTAACTACATCCAACATGTATCAAATCAGGTCCTAACATTTAACATCATAAAGTTTATCTAGGTAGCATTTAAAATTTAAGATCAGGAAACAAAAACAAGAAAAAAAAGAGGAAATATTCCCACACACTCCTTTTAGATTTTTCTTTTTAGCTTGTCATGCTTCTGCACTGGCTTATTATCCATGTACATTTTTTTCAACTTAATGCATAACAGTTTAAAATATCCATTCAATTTCTTCATATAAATGACCAAAAATAGAACAAACCACAGACAAAATAATAAAGAACAGAGGAAAACGACTGGTAGCTTAAATACTTTCACATTAAAATATAACTGCAATAAATGGGTTGTATGGTATGAAAACTTAGTCATTTATACTACATTTATAGTACGATCATGAGTTGTGGTAGTATGAAGGATAAATGGAGATTATACACACTTCTTTGTGTCACAATCTGCATATATTAGGTTTTTGTCTTCATTTTTTTTGTATACAGAGTTAGTAGCAATAGATATATATAAAGAACAACAAATAGAAAATATATATTTAAAACAAATATGTAAATAAAAGAAAGAACTGTAGGCCTATGCCTGTTTATTGTAAATATTTTTGTTTTTCTTGGATATTTAGCTTGTTCAAAAATAAATAAAAATATTTAATTTAATTTAATTGGTCCCTCAACGTCTTGAATGTAAAAATAAGGAGGAATTGGACAGTCTGTCCAACATTTCCTGCTGAACAAACTGTCCAACAGAAACAGCAGCTTCCATCTCCTGCCTTCGCCCTCACAGCTCCGCTCTGATTGGACGACACGCCATGAAACGAGGTCCCGCTGTTTCTGCGCTACTTCGAAATCTCGCGGGATTTGGCATTTAACGGTGGATTAAAAAAGGTGGATCCTTCCCCGGGCGCAGAAGCAGCAGCACCGGCAGTGGAGCCGCTCAGGTGGACGGTGAAGCTCCCGGTTCTCCACCCAGCCGCTCTTCCCCTCCTCCTTCCCCGCGAAGCTCCGCAGGAGCGTCTGGGAGGCTCCGTCCCGCATCGCCGCCACCCGCTCGGGTCACCTTAGCGCTTCCCCGACCGGCATTTCAACCAAAGATGATACCTGGCGAGCCGAGAGCCGCAGTCATGTCCTTATCGGTGGCGATACTCGGGACGCTGATGCTGCAGTCCGTCTCTTCCCAAAACGGTAGGACACGTTTTCCACTTGTGTTAAAAAATAAAACAATTAAAATGCATGCCTCACATTCTCTCAATGCGGTTTTTTTTAAGACTGCAGAGACATTTTTAATTAAACATGAGGGATCTCAAACGCTCCCTGCCAATGTGGCCAAAACAATGTAAATAAATAAAAAGGCTGCTTGCGTTAAAAATGAAGGGAGATTGAATCATTAATGGGCTACAATCTGTTTTCGGGAGGCTGAATTGGGCCAAACCGAGGCCCAAACCGCGTCCCTAAAATGTCCTTTGAAGTGTGGCGCTGAATACTGAGCGGCACCGCCAGCCTGCAACGTCCAGTTCCGCTCATTAGTTTGGGAACGAAGCTGCACCCTGGAAAGTTAAAAACAAATCCCTTCACATGCATGCTCAGATATCCGCATCAGGGCTCATCATGCAGGCCACGGTGATGTGTAATTAGATGTAGGACTTCAGGAGTAGGGCTCTCTGTAAATAGCATCAGTCCATTTTGCTGCATGCTTCTATTTTTAGTAGACAGAGATGCTGCTGCGCTGGGAACCGAGGCTTTAATGTCCCACCAATCTGTTAACTCCTCTCTGAGATGGTCTCTGCTGCAGAGCAGCGTTGGTCTTGCAGCGCGGACCCCCTCAGGGTCATGAATCTCATCCCCAACAAACAGATTAAGGCAACATCACCTCGAGTAGCTGCTGCTGCTGCCGGAAGCTTTGGCCCAGGTGTTGGACTCCGTCTGAGGAATAGTTGATAAAATCCTGATTTGTTACATATTAGCTTTGCACCTTACCATGCATTTCAGAAATACTGTTGTTGGCAAGTCATGGCAAGCTGCACCTCTCAATGATTAATAAACTTTCAAATTCAATTATTAAAATTCAAAAATATTTTGATCCCAAAGGGAAACAAAATGTTGTAACTCATATTAATGCAGGTTTTCCAAAGAGTTGTTGTCGATGGCGATGGCACTTTAACACTGAAACCAGAAGACATTTTAAATATTCTAAATAAATAAACCAAAATGTTAGTCATCGGTAGGAGTGATGCACTGATTGCAGTTTTCTGATTACTGATCTTTAAAAAGCTGGACCTGCAGATTCTGATTTTGGCCGATACCAATTTTCTTTATCTGAAATGTTGCTAAATAAATCAAGAAAGTCGCTGAGTTGGCAACAGGGGGGTGACTGTTGATGACTGTGGGGTAAAAAACAGCAACCAAAAACAATAAATAAAGAGGAAACAAACATAATATTGTGGTAGAGACGGTTTAAACTTCCTCTGCGTCCATAAAATCTCGTTTCGCCTCAGCTGTCTTTACAACAAGACATTGTTGCCACAGTAATGAATCATGACCGCTGTCTGAAAGTGATATAAGAGTAATAACATTACAAAACATTTTCCAGTTTCACGGCATCTAAAACCAGAGGGAATGATTGCCAATCATGCAATGATTCAAGCAAAATAAAAACAAAAATTCAGAAAATAAATTTTAGATTCCCTGAAATCAGTTTGCCGATTTGAATGCATCAATTTTGGTCTTTTATTAATTTATTCAACTGTCGATTTTTGGGGATGGACACCCTACAACTGCTTACTTTTTTTTTTTTCTCATTAAAAATCCACAAACTTATTTATGCATTTGTGGGAACCCTAAACGACGCTTACAAATAGAGAACAAGCAGAAAATCAATTATTAAATGATACAAAGACAAAATCTTAACTGAGTTTTGTGTCATTCGTCCGACTCTTCCTGTTATCTGTGTGGTGGATAAGTAGTCTTGGGTCCAATTAGCTTCCCGTTATATT